TCTCGGACAAGACAGATCTTTGGGATTGGCCGCAAGCATAGACGTCTCTATGAGCTCATTTATCTTCGTGTTCCGACCTCCACTCCATTGGATGCCCTTACATCTACCTCCACCTTATCACCTTTTCATCTTTGGCATTTTCGTTTAGGTCATATTTCTGTTAGTCAATTTAAATCTTTAATTTCTAGTGGTCAGTTAGGCCCTGTCTTTTCAGACACTTTAAATTGTTTATCTTGTCAACTTACAAAACAATCGGCTTTATCTTTTAATAATAGTAATTATGTTTCTTGTGCTCTTTTTAATCTTATACATTATGATATTTTGGCACATTTTCTACACCTACCATGGGGGGATCACGTTATTTTATTGTTTTTGTTGATGATTTTCCATGTTATACTTGGATATTTCTCATGAAAAATTGTTCTGAACTTAAACAAATTTACAATTTTACCAAAATGGTTCGAACCTAGTTTTCCGATACTATAAATTTTTTTCGTTCTAATAATGTTATGGAATACATGGATTCTAATTTTTTTTTATCTTTTATTCAAAGGCATGGTACTCAACCTCATCATTCTTGTGTCGGCACATCTCAACAAAATCAACGTGCTGAACGGAAACATAGGTATATTCTTGATATGACTTGAGCTCTTCTTATTTCTTCATCTTGTCCTAAAAATTTTGGGAGGTGGAGAAGCTGTACTTACTGCTGTTTATACTATTACTTATGTCCATACCCATCATTCATAATCAAACGCCCTATGGGCGCTTGTATAACACTTCTCTTCCTTACACCACACTTAGGGTTTTTGGATTTGTATGTTTTGTTCTGCTTCAGCCTCATGAACACACCAAGCTTGAACCTCATTATTGTCTTTGTTGTTTTTTCCAGTATGGCATTGAACATAAGAGTTATAGCTTTGGGATCCTATTTCCAAGCATATTCATATCTCTCGTCTTGTGATTTTCTAGAAGTATAAAATGTTTTCATCTCTATCCTCATTTCATTTATCCTCGCCTCCTACTTCCCTCATGTTTATTAATCCTTCCATGGATCTATTTTCTAATAAGTTTGATGTAGGTTCCCTTTCCCCATCTCTAGAGACGTCTCTGCCTGCATTTGATCTCATCGAGATTGCTCTCTCTAATGGTCCTGCAGTCCTCTCTCTAGGTCCCCCACCCCCTATTAAGTCTCCTCATTCACTACCAGATCCTCTCCCACAGATCTCCCCATAGATCGTCCACAACAGGTAGTTCAATCCTCTGTTTGTCTTCATGATTATACTCTTGGTTCTACTACTTTTTGTACTCATGAACCTACCTCATGTCGTGAGGCTCGTTCTAATCCTCTTTGGCTACAAGCTATGGTTGATAAACTGTAGGTTTTAGACAAAACTCATACTTAGGATATTGTTGACCTTTCTTTTGGTAAGACTACAATTGGATGTAAATGATTTTACAAAATTAAGACTCATTCTAATGGATCTATTGAGCAATACAAAGCTCGTCTAGTTGCGCGGGGCTTCACTTAGGAATATGGTATTGATTATGAGGAGACATTTTCTCATGTTGCTCGCCTCACTTCTGTTCGTAGTCAGATTGTTGTTGTTGCTGCTCGTCAAGGGCTTGGCTTGTCTCTAGTCCAAGATTGGACCGGAGCGTGCTGTTGGGCCTATGGAGGCCTACCATGGGTCCTATTTCGATAATCTAAACCGTTCAATATGTAAATCTTGTCGAGTACTTTATACCTATCAAAAATCACATTGATCAGATATCAACAGCTACTTGATCGGATCAAATTTCTGTCAACAATAAATATAATTTTCAAAATAAATTGTTGATAAAAATCTGATCTGATCAAGTAACTATCAATATTCGATTAACGTGATTTTTTTATAAGAATATAGTACTCAATGAGTTATACATATTGAACGGTTCGAATTATCAAAACAAAACCCGTTATGAGCCCCACAAGCCTAACAACATTGTCCAGTCTACAGGCAAGTCAGGCCCTATAGTCAAAAAGTTTTAAAAGTCGTTACAAATTGTCAATTTATTCTTTCTACGTTTTTACATATTTTTTTATAATAAAAAAATTAATAAAAAAACTAATTCACAAACGACCCCACATTTAATTTTTAGATTGCATTTGTATTTTAAATTTGTATAAGAATATGTAGTGGGAGAAAAATAAAAGGAAAGAAAAGACAAAAGTGAGTAACAAATAAATTAATTCTTTTCCCTCTATGATTTTTTTATTATAATAAATCACAATTTAAATATAGTATTATTGATAAAAAACAATGTAGAAAAAGAAAAAAGAGGAAAATTGTAAGCCAGCAGCCAGATTCCTGCACGTGTGACCACCAGTCCTGTGGTGCAATCACCATTGACCCCAAGTCAATCAACTTGAATTACATTACATATGGGTGTTTGATGCAGTTTATTAATTCAGCTGCTTATTTTTTAAAAGCTCAGAGAAGAGTGATTTTGACATTTACTTTTTCAATTTTTAATTTTTATTTTTTAATAAATTATACTAAATATATAAAGAGATAATTTTGTTGGACATTTTCATTTTTGTAATTGACTGTAACTCTTTTTGTATGGTGAATTTAGGAAAGAATTTGAAGAGGAAAAAAAAAATATATATATATATATATATATTTATATTGCAATTTTTTTCATAAACCCCTCTCTAAAAAACTCAGGATATATAAAAATAACATAAAGGTGGTTATTGCATGAAAGGTACACATATGCCACTAGCCTGGGGAATTTTTGTGCCAGAATACAATGCCAAACGTTGCTTTCTGCCACTACTCCACCACCCAAACTTGGCCCATGAAATCCCAAAGCCCAACTTCCAAAATCAGACAACTTGTGGGGAAATAAAGAAATAAAGAAGAAAAAAGAAAGAAGATGGAATGTAGAAATCTAAGATAGATGTGAATGGAAAGTTATTAGTTAGTTTGAAAATACCAATTTTTTTATATCAATCGATGGCAAAAATAATTATAAATATGAGAAATATATATATATATCAAAATATCATTTGATATTGTTTACATGATTTTTTCACAACTGATAAATCGCTAAATATATTAAGGATGTATTTAGGTCATGGAACTGGAAACAGAAAAGAAAAAGGAGAAGAAAAATTATTTATATTTTATACATATTTTACTCGCATTTTTCTTGTTTTTTTAAATCTCTATTTGTATTTATTATCTTAACACATCCGAAGTAAATTATGTCTTCTCTCTCAACTACCTAATAAAGGTAAATTATGTAGAATTTTCTACTAGGTTATTAATTGAGAGTATCATATGAAAATCTCACCCTATTTAATACTTAATGCGAATGCCCATCCGAAGATATATATATTCCATTCCAAAATATATACCTAATATAAAACATATCTTGTTAAGAATCTGGCATACTTAATCAAGATCGATGAAATAAAAAATATAAAAACAAATAAATACATTATATGCGCACATAGAAAAAATACAAAATTTACGCAATTCATCTCAAAATTAACTATACGTCCACAACTGTTACAACTGTTATGACGTCAAATAATTACAATAACACTTTCAAGGGTTAAGAAGGATGCATTACTGAAACAATGTCTGCTGAAATTGATGAATGGTTTTCAAAGGATTTATATGGATAGAATTTCAATATAAGTAGTAGTAGTATTAATGATAATATTCATCATCATCATTATCGAATCTGATCAAACAAACCTCTACACTGTGGATAGGGAAATGAAATTACTTGATTTATTTGGTAGTTATGGAAAATATAAAAGAAAACAATAAGTAAATCAATGAGGAAACATGATAAGATCAGGGAAATCAATTTTCTATTTAAAATATATGTAGTGCTCCAACTTAATTTCATTAGTGGAAAAACTCCTTCAGATCTACTTTCTAGGGAGAGGAGGGCGCTTCACCATCCTATCTCCTCTGTTTCTTCTTCGGTAGTATTCTCATCGCTATTTTTTCTTTTAATGTTACGTTTGGTCGGGAGATTTGATGAGAAATTTGGAAAGAAAAATGAAAAAAATAGGTAAAATGTAAATAAAATATACTTACATTTCACCTAATTTCACATACTTTTTTCTTTTTCCTTTCTAAATTCCTTCTCAAATCACTCAATCAAGCAAGTGTAAATCTATTTTTTCTTTTCTTCATATTCATCACCATCCTGCCCACTAATGCTCCTATCATGTCTCCATCATCGGTCTGCTATAAAAAAAAAAAAATTCAAATCTAGGCTCAGATCTAGCTTATCATTTGTTTTTTTATAAGCTAAACAACTATTTCAAATTTAAAACAATTTATTTTGTAACGTAGCGGTGATAATTACGATGTCACATTACAAAGGTGTTTGGTGGTGATTATTTTTGTTCTATATTTTTTTTGGTGGTGTGTCTGTTTATATTGTAATAATGTCTCTTTACATAGAGATTTCCTTCTCATGGGGATTTTTTTTATTTTTTTTCATATGAAGATTGTTATATATCCTCCTTCCATATATAGACTCTTTATATTTTTTTGGAATCCCTCTTGTATTTGATTTACTTCATTAGACGATTTACTATCTGTCTAATATATATTGTATTTACTGGCTGTTTGGCATGTGCTAAAATAGGACATGCTATTTTAGCACATTATCCTATTTAGGTCACAATGTCTTATTTAAATCACATCACCTCTTTATCACATTACTTCAAACTTAACTCATATTTCACGTTTTTTTTCATAAAAAGTCAGAATGAATACTAATTTCACACTTTCCAAACAACCTCTAAGTCTTGTGCTTTCGGATTTAAAAAAAAAAACCTTAAGTATTACTCAAATATCATCAAATAATTGCTTGTGGCATAAGACATTAGCTCGCCACCTTGAGCTTTTATCACACGCTATGCAATATATATATATATATATATAGAGAGAGAGAGAGAGAGAGAGAGAGAGAGAAGCATCTCTGTCTTGAAGAAACCAAGTTGCAAATTGTGATAAAAGTAAAAGTGGAGGAGGAAGGAAAATAAATAGCAAGAGGGGCAAGTTATCAAAAGCAGAAAAATAAGTTCATCAACTTTTCTGATTCTTTTCATTTCATTTCATTTATTGAAAAATTTCTTCATATATTCCACCATCTCTCTCCAATGTTTTCTTATATCCAAGTCCAACTTCGAAAGAATTTGGCCTTCTCTAAAGCTTGCTATATAGTTGGCCGTCCGCAAAAAGTACTTCACCATCATCATCATCATCATCATCATGTTTGGTTGGTGTTTTGGGCGAACACAAATATCAAATGCCATGTCTGTGAGTACCATTCTCGTTCTTTCACCTACTTCCATATTCTGATCTCTTCATTTGTTTAGGCAAAAAAAATAATTTTTAGAAAACGTTTTCTGTTTTTAATTGCAATAAAAAAAATTAATATGCTAGTAATGGTAATAATAGTAGTGGCAATGATGATGGAGAAACAGTGATAGTTTGGTGCAGTGGTGGTGGGGGTGGTGATAATAAGTGGTGATGAATAGTATGGTAGTATAACTGAGAATTTAGTTAAGAAAACGATTTGTACATTTTAAAAATGACAAAAATCTTCTGCCCAAATATCTTATTTTTCATTAATTATGAAAAATATGTTTTTTTATTTTTTTAATTTTAATCTTTTCCTGTGTGTGTTGATTTTTACATTTCATTATACCAAATAGTCAAAATAAATTGACATCTAATATCTATCACATTTTTGGTTTAATAGATTGTGGAGCTTTTGGTACATATGGACTGTGACGGATGTGAAAAAAGAGTACGAAAGGCAATCTCTAAATTAGATGGCAAGAAGAGTACTTCACATTTATTTAATAATATTATATTATTATTTTCTATTGCTTCAATTCATTTCCTTATTTTATGATTTGGAAAATTCTATCATACATACCTTTTATCATATACTTCATTTTATAGGTTCTCAATATATATTATTCATAGAAGAAAAAGAAAAAAAGATCAGAAATGATAGAGACCCTTTTTTTTCTTAACCCCCACAACCCTCACAGACATATGTCATTGAGTGATGAGAGGAAAAAAAAAAACAAAAAGCAAAAAGTTGACCAATCTCAATACAGTGAGAGTGGCGGGGGTCAAGGAAAAAAGGGGTCTCAACTTTTTTTCAAAAAAAATTAGTCGATCCGATAATCATAACATTTTCATTTTATCATGTTTGTCTCAAAAAAAAAAATTTGTCAACAAGTATATTTTTGAAAATAAGCCATCTATTTTTTCGAAAACAAATATGATAAAATAGAAATGCTACGATTGTCGAATTTGCTTAATTTTTCAATGGATAATATATATAGAGAATCTTACAAAATGAGCATTTCAAATCATCAAAATCGGACCCATAGTGGGTTCATGAGCCTTTCAAGTTTTGCCAAGTTGAGATATAAACTTAAGAGAAATCAAACCCTTCTAGTTCTTCTCACTAGGGGTGAGCATGTTTCGGTTTGGTTCAATTTTGAAGTAAACCAAGACCAAATCACTCTGTGTGGTTCTATATAATTTGAAACTAATATGAACCATGAAAAATTTAAATCAAACTAAACCAAACTATAAAACATAGTTCGGTTGATTTGACATCACGATTTTCTTGAAGTTTGTCATTAGTCACAACATAATCCCAACTTGGTCAAAAATCAAATAATATATCATCATTTTACCCCAAAAAAAAAAAAAAAAAAAGAAGCAAAAGAAGTTTAAAACTAATTCTACTATTATACAGTAACACACTTCTTTTTTTTGACCAGCGAAAGTTATAATTGTTAATTATTAGATTAACACTTATAGAAGCTATCCTCTACACCCTTACAAAGTATCAAATATTTGTTTCTTAATTCAACTCCCTTTTATGGAAAGTCAAACCCATGACTTTCTCCTTAGGACTAAGCCTGAGGAGAGTCATAGTGACCAACTAAGCTAAACTTAGTTGGTTTACAAGAACACACTTATAAGTAAAGGGTTAATAATTTATGAATATATATATAGGATATTAATAAGATACTTGAGTGTACACCAAATATAATAAATTAAATATATGTATATACCTAAATGGTTCGGTTCAGTTCGGTTCCAAACTAACATCATAATTATAAAACACGGATAGAATTATGAGATACAATTCATCTATTTTAAAAAATCAGAATCAAACCATGTATTGAGAAAAGCTTGCGATTTTTTCAATCTATTTGTTCGGCTCTAATTCTCACTTGATTGTAGAATAAATTACACTTAGCATCTTTGTACTTACATTACTCCCACTTTGCCCCGAGGCTACACAAAGTCAACCCTTCAGATTTTCAGCCAAATTCTAATTCTACCCATTTGTTAACCTATGAATGAACTAGACGGAAAAATAGCCATGTGAGATTCACTTGGTCACTTTCAAAGGCAATACAATAGGTGACTTGGTTTGCTACCCCATTTCTGCCCCGTATTTTATTATGCTTCTATATATATATATATATATATTGTTTGTTGATCAACCCAAGACCTTAGGTTCAAACTTTGTACAAGTCACTTTATAAATTTCTTTCCTTTTTTATATGAAAAAATTCAATTGAAAAAGAGAGATAGTAAACTTCAAGTGAATTATTCACATATATAATAATATAGATAATAGTATAGATATATCTTTTCATTTCTTCATCATTTAACATCTAATTAAAAAAGTAATATTTTTTTTTAATTATATCTTTAGTGATACCAATTTGGGAACGAGTTAGTTGTTTACCACTATTTTGGTGTTGGGTTGAGAATTATCTAGTTAATTCTACAATTATTCTACTATTAAGTTCTTAAGTTGTTATATTAATTGCTCTAAAGCTTCTTGTTTTATTGCCAGTTGTCTGTCAATTTGTGTGATTCTCAAACTATAGTGTGCTAGAGATCTTCCTGTAGTTAATGATAGCAGAAATTGATATCTTTGTTTTTTATCTTCTAATTCTTGTATAAGTTCAGTACAAAATTTAATTTTAACTCTAAGTTCTTATTTCAAACGCATAAAAAATTGGATTTAAAAGATATTATATCGAAAATATCCATTTGGTATTTCTACTTGGATTACTCTCCTTTTATTCTAAAATTCTTTCATTTACTTTGAAAAACTACTTTTAAGTGAAGTTTACTTTCATTACATGTACTCCCACCTTGAGATTAAGCCTCGATTGATATAGTATATTTTTACTGTCCTATTCCTTACCGTTCCCTTTCTACCTGCAATTTCCCTCTAATGCCTTCCTGATCACAACTCACAGGAGTTCTTTAGCTAAGGTCACTCAATAATGGAATAACAAAAACAATAGATGCTATGAAGGTTCAAAGCAAGTAATATTAATGAGCAAGCAAACATTTCATAAACTTAGTTTTTCCAAACGAAAATAAATTTTAGAACAGATGAGTTACCTTTTCCAAATACCCAAAGAAAAAGAAAAATTACTCACATTTCATATTAATATAACAAAATACTTACAAGGATTATGTTACAGACTTTGGGACACTTAGAAACTTGGAAGACAAAAGTTGAGACACTTGAAAGTTAGACAAAGGCAAGGACTTGAGTGATTTTTTTTCTTATTTTTCTTACTAAAGTATGCTCTCTATTTATAGTAGTGAATACCCCTAAAGACTGACTACCAAAAGAATTAGTCAAGGAGTAAGATAATGATGTCGGGTACTAATTTGGGTCCCATCGCACATCATTCAATCCTCTCTCTCTCTCGGTACTTTGTTTACAAAATATTACCAAAAAAAAAAGAGAAAAAAATAATAAAAATGAAAACACGTGTAAGGATTCTCATAGCTTTTCTTTAATGAAGCAGAGTATGGGTCGTCTGCTCTATTAAAGTAGTGAGTGAATGAGAAGCCTTACTACTGACAGACGCAAATAATTATAATAGATTTTGTCATTTTTTGGCATGAATTCTGACACATAGTTCAGTTGTGAAAGAGAAGCCTTATCTCTAACAAACTTAAATAATCATGTTGGCCGTTGTCGTTTTCTGGCTAAATCCTTCTTGGTGAAGCTCCTTGTAGATGCTTGATGGTAATCTTGGATGCTCTAGACACTTGCGTTTTTTTTTTATTATTATTATTATTTTATTTTATTTTTGACCTTCAACCAAACATTATATTCGAAAGGTCATCAAGGTTTGTTGCTGAAAGTTGATCATAAAAATCTACCTCATTATCTGGTTCATCCTCCCATTGATTATCATCTTAAAGTATTGGTGACTCATGGAAAACACTATGCTGATAGTTAGGATACTGACTTTCATTGACAAATGTCTCTTTGCTGATAGGAAAACCAGGAATAGCCAAGTTATAATAGATCTTCTGGTTTCTTTCTTCACAGATGATGTGTCTATAGTTTCCATTATAAGCTAATAGATGGTTAGTAGCAAATTTCCTCCATTTGTTAAGCTGATCTTTGAGTGAAAATTTCCTGCATGGCTAAGGTCTTCAGTTGAGAAGTCCTGGGTATCTTGGAAAAGTTGAGATTCCTCTGAGGTACATTTTATGTTTGATGGGAATACACTTTATTCCTTTCCATTCTGGTAACTTGCTATCAATCAATACTTCAACATATGGATAATGTTCTTCCATTATGCAAAGTACCGAATGAGCAAGTTTATTTCCAAAATAATCAGTCTGGTCTGGTTCTGAAAAAATCATTTTGGAAACAAAACTATAATTAATCCAACAATTGTGTGGCTATTAGACTACGAGTTTTGCCTTTTATTTCTATCTCTAGTGGCTCAAAAGTGGCTAAATTTATATGGCAAAGACAGATGCTGGAGTTGAGATTACACTGGCATCTTCGAAAACATTCTGGATTTTTGAAAAGTATATACTGAGGAAATTTAAGACTAACAGACGTTTAGCTGGAAGATTAAGGTTATTCCAAAGGTTATCTGGACATATTAGGCAAGATACAATCATCTATTCTTGCTACAAGTAGAATTCTAGTCAGTTAGATAACAGGAAGTTGTAGTACTAACTCGCAGCTTAATACAAAATCACAAAGTTCTCTTCAATTATGCAGACATTGCGAAGGCCTTACTAGAAATTTCAAGAAAATTATGGATAAAGGTAAAAGAGTTAGTGAAGAGCCAAACCAACTCTGAGACGAAGAAAAACATTTGAGGTCAACCATTGGAACCCTAACCAACCGGCTTAAAATATTAACTCCAGATAAATCACCCATTCCCATTCAAATCCAAGAAATCAAGCAACTCACCAGTGAGGAATTTGATCAATTGAGTGCTAGAATGTATTTATTCAGGCATTCTATCATTCAATCTTTTTGTGAGAAAATCCATGAATTCAAGGATATTAAGCCTTTTATATATACAATAGTCGAACATAGTGGAAATAATGAGCTAATTACTATGCAACAGTTTCTCCAAAACCTTTCTATAGAAGGAGTCCAGTGCCCGGGTATGGGTTATTAATGGACTTATCTCTACGATGATGAAGACCAACCATGCACACAAGAAAGACGATGTAGAGAAATGCCAGAATGTTTTCGAAGATGCCAGTGTAATCTCAACTCCAGCATCTGTCTTTGCCATATAAATTTAGCCACTTTTGAGCCACTAGAGATAGAAATAAAAGGCAAAACTCGTAGTCTAATAGCCACACAATTGTTGGATTAATTATAATTTTGTTTCCAAAATGATTTTTTCAGAACCAGACCAGACTGATTATTTTGGAAATAAACTTGCTCATTCAGTACTTTGCATAATGGAAGAACATTATCCAAATGTTGAAGTATTGATTGATAGCAAGT